CTGGCAGACGGTGATGTTATTGGTCTTAAACATTAGAGATAGTCTTAAGCTGCAAGGTTATATAACATGGGCACTTAGGGAGAGGCATGAACTCTTTTGAGCCCTTTGGGGTGCTATTTAATTCATCACTGCTGTGCTAAATAAAAAATTCATCATGCCTCATAAAAGTGCCCAAGTATTTCTAGGTAGTGAGCTCAAAATTCACTACTGTGAATACAGACAATTTGTGGAGAGCCATTCAGGCATTGGTTGGGGCAGGAAGGAACATGAGGGAACCATCAGAGCTACATTTTTCCAAGGACATCAGAATAAATCTTGGTGCCTGAGAAGATGATCCTGAAAGAAGAAAACATTATAAATCATTTGGTTTCTAACTTTACGGTTACATCAGTTTCGAGGAACTCATCAGCCGTCTGCTAGAAGAGTTATGTAGCCTGCCTTGCTCATTAAGACCTTTGGTGCTAAACCCCGAATGACCTCGTCCTACTTTATGTCCACAAAAGTTCTCCTACATTAGTGACAGGTATCATTGATCTGCTGTAGCCTCAACATCCCTGGGTGTCCTATGCCACTGACTGGGTCCACCTTGAAGCAGAGTGGTTAATCAAACTCAAGGCCAAGTGGAGTGAGCTATTGTTTTGTGTGTTCCCCATCTGAGGAAGGTCCCTCTTGATCCATGTTTGTAAGAATTTATCACAGGCTTTGTGGCCCTCTTTCAAAAATGGGTGACAGACAAATGGTTTTATTTCAATGAAAAAGTCACCAGCCAGTACTCCTCTTATAGGGAAGGCTACATTTCTTACTGCACAACCCATGATTTTTGATCTCTGTTTGGAACAGTTTATGACTGCCTGACTGATGAATTTGGACATGCTGCGGCTGGGTTATATTGCAGCCCTGCAGACTCAGGACTGCTAATAAGGGTATTCTGCTAAGCGGCAGAGAGACTGCTTCATTGTCCGCAAACAGGTCCTTGTGGGTTTAAGCAGTCTTACTCTTTAGGTCTATGAATCACTAGATTTTTGTAAGTTCAGTCCCTGAAAAAACTTGGGTGTCTTAACCAAGGTGTTAAAGAGATAGAGAAGTAGATAAATGTATCTGTGAATGTGTGTATAAATGTGTGGCTCTTCCTGTAAGCTATATAACATGTGACATACATGACATTGCATTTATCTATGAATACATCCATAGATACCTATAACTCCTGAATAAATATATTAGAAGCCCTGTTTTTTGTTTTTTTTTTTTTAAGTTAAGGCTTGCTTATTTCTAGTTATTACCACCCCCATACATTCAGTGATTGAATCCACATGGAGCCTGCTTAATTAACATGCGTAGGTTTTAATATCTTGGGAGTGGGATTCCCATGCTTTTATCCACGTGATTTCAAATGTCTAAAGACTTAAGTTAGTTATTCTTACTCTTACAGAATTCTAAGAATTATAAATTGTCATCTGTAAATAACCCCTTTCCATTTTTTGTAGAAATTAATTCTGATATAGATATTGTGATCCAGAACTATTTTGTTACAGGTCATTTGTCTGTTAGTGCAAAATATCTGTACAGTCCTAAATGTTGTACCATTTTCTGGTGAAGAGATTTTGACTCAATACTTTACATTTTGTTTGTTCAACTGCTAACAAATTTTAACATTCAAGTGACAGACAAACACGTATGTACACATACATATGCATATGTAAAGTATCTATGAGTTAGAGAAAATCATGAACCAGGAATTGATTCTGCGCAATGCTGATACATTTTGTCAAGTTTAAATGCCAGTATTAAGTCAACATAATTCAAAAACTGGACTTGGAAATATGGACGGTGATATTCAGTTCTTGATTCTTTTGAGATATATAATATTTTTCATTTATAGAAGTTATTACATAAAAGTTTGTATAAACATACAAATATTTGAATACAGATTCAAATTTATTTGAACTTTAGCACTAAAGAGCCAAAAGGAAATGAAATGGAAAGCCTCATGAGAATAGCCATTGTTTTCTGTTTCCAGCATAGTGAAGTGTTATGGAAACAGTCCACTCAACTGTATTGGACCTTGTAGTTAGCTCATCCTTACTTATTTTTCTAAAGTAGTAACTATCTCATGAACTGCTTGAGTTAAAGATCAAGTATTATGTTAGGAAAGTCATCTCTTATAGAACTTGTCTCTTCTTTCCAACTTTCTTTGGAAAAAACAAAATTACTCTTAACCCCAGCTTCCAAAAATTATTAAAACAAGCCTAGTAATATAATTCCTGAAGATAGTTAAGAATCTGAACTTAGATTTTTATCAACTTGGATATATGCTGTTAAAACATGTGTTGTTGGATATATGTCATTGAACTGTGTCCTTGAATTATATTTAAAAATATTTGAATTTGCTTAAATAGAGTTCATAAAAGTAACTTCTAATTTTAATTTAAATGAGTAGGTATTGTTGGCTTATAAACAGTTTTAACAGCTAGACAATATAAGCCCAATCCCAATTCAATCCCAAGAGATCTGCTCCCAGTGCCATTTTCAAACAGATTTGACCCTTAGAGAACTTGATCCCAATTTTTTTTTCAGCTCATTATGAGGTCTCTGAGAAGCCAAATCAATTTTAGCAATCATCAAAATGTTCTCATTCTTGCTTGCCACCTACCACTTCCCATAAGGCAGTTTTCCCCTCAGTCTATCGTGGACCAGAACAGGATTTGCGGAGAATTCAATGTGGTCATGAATTTGAAGTTTGTCTATGGAAAGATCCATAGTTACCAGAATAAACAAATAGCCCGGCCTGGACTTATTATATACCTTATCAGTTTACCTAAGAGAAAACCTACTTTATTTAAAGTGTGGTGTGTGTGTGTGCGTGCGCACGCGCCTCTGTTTATTTTACCTATGCATGTTTTCAGTCTTCTAGTTTTAAATACAGGCCAGAAATTTGTGTCAAGAAAGAATATCCATATTGTATGTGAGAGTATAGGTGGGGCTGGGGGGGGACACAGAATACTGCTGAGAAGATTGAACAGTGAGAAAGAAAGCCTGGAGGTGAATTGGAGACTAGAACCTGGAGTTGGAATGCACTTGTGATTTCTAGAAAGGAGTGCAGAGCTGAGAACCAGATAGCACAGAATGCCAGGAACTTTCCGGGCATGCAGCTTCACCTCAACTGGAAAGACATCAGGCCTAGAAAGAAGGTGTCCTAATGTGACCAGCAGCAGAATTTGACCCTGCATGGATGGGTGGAGGAAATGAGCACTAAAGACTTGAGTGCAGTGTAATGGAATATAGACTGTAAGTGAGGTCAGGTCAGTCTGAACTGAGAGACAGGACTGGGTACACATGGTTTACCAGCTTTTATATAGTAAAACCCTGAGAACAATGGAAAATGGAAGTCAGGAACTTTCAACAATGCAGAATGTGTTATGTGGACAGTGTCCTTTAAAGTAAGAGCAGCACAAAGAGAAAAAGGCTTCAGGGAGATTGCAGTAGTCGACCATCACAGAGCACCATGGAATATGTTTGGACCCATTTTCATTACTTGGAAAGTAAATTGGTGGGAAACTGCAGTCATTGAAGAAGTACCCAACCTCCGACCAAACTTCTCAGAGCTCTATGAATGTTTATTTCCCCTTTACCATACTACAGCTACAGCTCCAAAAATAGTATTATTAGGACTCGAAAACGCGATTCTTGGTGCATGGATTCTTGATGCTCCCTATGTTATCATTGATCTTTTAGTTTGCTTAAAGGCTCTGAAGTACATGTTGAGGAATGCACCAAAGTTGTTCATTTACTATTCCTCAGTGGTGAGAGGTAGAATTGGAATCCACCTGCAGGCCTCCTCTGAAGAAGTAGCAGTGTTGAGATTGCTCTTACACCCTGAGGCAGAGGCACCTCGCTCATACCTGGAGACCTCATGCCCATGCACAGTGGCACTAGAACAAAGACTTGGACAAAACAAGATCTGGGGAGATGAGTGTCCTTACCTCAACTGCCCAGAGCAGGGCATATGTTTTATTCTGCCAACACTTAATAGTTGACTATTTCCCAGTTGCTGATTATGGAAGGGCAGAACTGGACAGCTCAACAGGAGACAAACAAATTCCATGGAAAATAACTGGTGGAAAGGAAGCATTCTAGACCTCTTTCAGAGTTCCTCAATGCATGCGCTCATATAAAAGGCTCTCAGAAGCCTGATGATAAGAACATTTGTTTCACTGCATCTCACTGTGGCCTTAAGTTCATTTGACTTTGGGCTTTATCTTTGAACACCCATTAACCTTCCTTGGAATTAATTCATTGTTAAAAGGGTCGAATTCTAGGAGGCGGGTGCTAAGAGAGATCAGAGGAAGGATAGAACCACCAAAACCGAAATTTTGTTCACCTTACCAGTTTGAGCTAAGAATTTTTTGTCTGCCCCATGTGACCTGCTGCTCTTACCAGTTTACCTTTCAGGGATACTGCTGAAGTCTGTGAAAATGACCATATCCTCAAGGGATGGAGCGAGTCCCCACATTAACTGCTTAGCTTTTTAATTGAATTGGAGAATAATCAGTTGGTTTTCACTGTGAGCAAACCAATTTGATTTAGAAAATATTTTGAGGAAGGTCAGTTCTTTTAAACTCTAAAAATACATTTGGTGAAGATGCTTAGGTTACCAAGTTATTTTTGGCTTGAGTCATCTGTAAAAAAAATACAATAATTGTGTGTACTTCATTGCTGTGAGAATGTAATTCTCCTGGGATTTTGTTGGCCATCATTCTAAGTGTTCTTTCTAATAGCCGAGCAGTAACCTTCAAGTACTAAGTTCTGTTATACCTGAATCAGTGATATGTCATTGAATAGAAAGCACACACATTGAAAAATGTTTCTGAAGCATCATTCAACCCCACGAGTAAAGCATTTGAAAACACCATTTAGTGAGTCTTCTTTCCCAAATTTCATGACCCCAAAGAGGTTTTAAGGTTTCTGCTTAATGAACTAATATGGCTTGTTTTCATCCACAGAGGCCAGCAAGCTTGTCATGTCCTATGTGGCCGCTGTTTGTGGAAAAGGAGCAGAAGTTAATCAAGTCAAAGAGCAACTTTTACAGTCCAACCCTGTCCTGGAAGGTAGGATTTTCTGTGTGCATTAGGTCAGTGTCACTTGAACGTAGATTCAGGTTGAGGGCACTTCAGGTATCTGGCATTCTGGGAGGGGAAAAGGAGGAAAGAGATTCAAGCCAAAACTAGTTGAGCAAGTAAGCATCCTAGGAACTCTTGGCTCTAAGAACTTGAAGGAGGAAGTGGTTGACTTGTGGAAAAGGAACACTCCCACTTGTAATCCTTTTCCCCCTTTTGATTTTTATTTGAATGACTTAAATTTTGCTTAAAAGAGTCAACTGGTATTTGCAATTGATGGTGTAACACTCTTTTATTTTTCAAGAGAATACCTATGCCCGGTTATTTCTGTTGTTAAAGAAACATGAGCTCTATCAGAGAAACATTTAAGGACCAATTTTTTCAGGGCCATAAAAAGCCTATACCTGACTGTAGAGCTCACAGATTTTCAGGTTGGCTCCCTGTATTAACTCAGGCTTCTATAACAAAGTACCACAGACTAGACAGTTTAAACAACAGAAATTTATTTTCTCACATTTTTGGAGATTGGAAATGAACAACAAGGGGCTGGCAAGGTAGGTTTCATCCTGAGGTGACTTCTCTTGGCTTGTAGGTGGCTGTCACATTGCTGTATGTATGTGTGATCTTTTCCTTGTGTACATCAGGAGAGAGAGCAAGAGTGATCTTTGTGGTATCTCTTTTCCCCCCAGTTTTTTTAATTGGTGCATTATAGTTGCACATAGTGGTAGGATTTGTTGTTACATGTTTATACATGCACACAATATTACAATAGGAATCTCTTTTTTTATAAAGGGCACTGATCCCTCATGGGAGTCACACACTCATGACAGCATCAAACCTTACTTCCCAATATCATCACATCAAGGGTTATTAGCACTTCAACATATGATTTTGGATATAGAGGAACACAAACATTTTAGTCTATAAGACACCATCTGAAAATGAAGCCAGGGAAAAATTCCATTAATTCCATAAAGGATGGCATGTGCCATCAGCATAAACCATTCTTTCCCACAGTAAATCAAAGCCTTTCCCTGTTGATGGGAAGCCATTCAATGCACTTCATATTATAAGCATGCTTTTACTGTCATGCAACACATTTACTGGGGGTAGAGTAGGGTTCACCACCGTAGCACTATTGGATTAGACACATCTTTGCTGTAGAGGGTTGTCCTGTGGCCAGCATCTCTGGCTTCTGCTCACTAGATGTCATTTGTACTCCTACCTCTGGTTGTTAGAATCAAGAATGTCTTCAGACACTGCCTGGGAAGTCAGAACCACAACACATTAAAATCTCTGGGCTAGAGAAATAGTTTGGTTTCTTTGTTCCAAGTCAGGAAGGACAAGATTTAACACAGATTATGGCACAACTGCTCTGGCTAGGTGGGCACCCCGATAGTGTGGAAGGCAGCCCTGCCCTATTGTGTTTATTCTCAGGCCCAGCTCCTCCTTCCCTTTTGGAGATGCTCCTGAACCCTGAGCATTCCCTTTGACTCCAAGAAACACTTCCGTGCTTCATATTCTCCATTTTATTATAAGGAGACACCTTGGCATCTGTATCCTGGATGGTAGGATATGAGAGAAGCAGAGACCAAATCATCTATTCCGTTGTTTTTGACCTCTCCTCCCCTTCAGTACTTAACCAAGAAAGAAGCTATAGAAAGTGGTATCTCTTCATTTTATTATTGTAATATCTGACTTTTGTTTATTCGTTTTTGCTTTTAAGAAAATGAGTTCCTCATATGATATTATTCTGTAGATGCTTTATTCTGTAGATGCTTATTTTAAGAATGCTGTGATCTAAAGGAGCATTGCTAAGGAATGTTATAGCTTGCATCTGTGACTAGAATCTGGCTCTTTATTCAGTGGTATTTCAATCTAGGCTGCAGTGCGGGAAATGGGAGAAATGTCCACTGTGGGCCTGTATTATCTTTTATGGGAATGCTTTACTTTTGAACTGGAGCTGCTACTGTAAATGAACATTTAGAACAATGAACTTAAAAAAAACAAACGAGGAATGTGTCTCGAGTGTTTTATAATGGAACACTTGTTTTGGATTCTGTGGCTCACAATAAAGGACTTCAGTGTTAGGATTGTGTTTAGTAATGTGCAACTCAGAATTGTTTGATGAAAAGATGGCTTGTGGCTTGCAAAGGGTGCCCTAAATCAAGTTTTTTTTTTAAGCAATTCCTTCACTTGGCCCTGACCTTCAAGCTGCAATAAACTGTCCTTTATGTGACAGCGTCCTGTGCTGGACTTTGGGGCTTTTAAGTTAGTTAACTTGGCACCCACCACAAAGGCCTAGCAAAGAAAGCATGAGAATGTCGAGTTTTCATGATAACTTGGTTAACATTTGCCATTATCAAGATCACACTTGTAAAAGCTTTGGCCTGTGTGAACAAGGGATAAGCATGGGAACCTCCCTAGAAAATTCCCTTTTTTGAGTATCTCCAGTGCACAGGTTTCCTTGCTCAACACAGCATCTCGTTTTCTTTCTGTTGAAGAGAGAATTTGGTGTTAGGGACTAACTGAGCCATCCAGGCAGCATCCCTAAAACAAAGAACATTTTCTGTGTTGATTTTGCAAATTTTGTCTTAACTGATCTCAAGCCAACTATTATTAATTATTTTAATTAAAAAAAAAACAGCCACCTAGTGTGTGAATTAGAGCACATCACATTTAGGTGCTGAATATTCAGAGTTACCTTCTAATAAATGTGCTCCCTCACTTCTTGTTAAATGACTATTTTGAAAACAAGAACCAGTTTTTAGCCTCAGGGCTCATTTGAGCAATGATTGCTCCAATTCTCTTTCCTTGCTTATCTTGAATAAGTTCTGGAGGCCTCCAGATATTTGATGTCCAGCCTCTTGTTCCAAAAATCATTTCTGTTGGCCATTTTATCATGCTTTCTCCTTGCTAGCTACCTCTGGATCCCAACAATAGTCTGCGTGGATGGATCACTTGGTAGAATCCATAGTCTCCTATTTCTCTCAGGCTCACTAGACCAATTTACACTTCAACAAGATCCTTAGGCAACTGGGTTGCGTATTGAAGTTTGAGATGCGCTCTTGGGCTTTCAAAGATTCAAATGGGGGTTCCCTCTCCTGATAGATATGTCTTAAGCTTATACTGCCTCTTTCTCTGCTATCATTTTTCTAGATTAATTTGCCACTCTCTAGTGCCCAGGCTTAGTTAAACAGGGGCATTCTGTGCCTGGTGAGGGTCAGCCACATGGTTCTTGTGGACCCTCATTTGAAAAGGAGTCCCTTGGGAGATTTGTCTCCTCAAAGCAACTAAGAATGAAACAGGCTCCTATTTTGCATTATAGATCAGTTTTGTTTTCTTTATTTTCTGACAAGTTTTACTTAGGTCTGATGGACATAAACTACTGAAGCTGTGTAGCATTTTCAGGTTATTGGAAATGACTGTCATTCCCAAATCTTGGTATTTCAGAGTTATATAACTGATCATATTTAAATAAGTAGTTTTGTTTTAAAATTAATTGAAGTGCCACATGCTTTCTTCTCTGATCTGGAAACCTAATCCAGTTCCATCAAACTTTTGATATTCAGAGTAATTATGAAATAGCCTGTTAATAGTAGAAGAATAAAAGCCACTCACTGGCTACTCACTTGACTCCTGTTTGAAAAGAGTTAAAAGGTGTTGAATTAGGTAAGATTAAGTTTATGGTAATGCTCACAAAAATTCCATGAATCAGAGGAGTAACTTGTTGTTTTTCTATGAATTTATAATAAGACATGGAAATTTTAGCAACTTATTAAAAACTTTAGTTAAGCATATTTTTATGGAAAGTTTGTACAGAAATGTCATTGGTACAAGTTGTATTTGCCAGCAATTATATTTGCTGTATCTTCTGCTTGAAATTATTTTTTTTCCTGTGAACTTTAACCATGCATCTGTTTTGTTCTTACTAGCTTTTGGAAATGCCAAAACTGTAAGGAATGACAACTCCTCTAGATTTGTAAGTATTTGTATAAGCTTAAGTGTTAACACTAATATTTAGCTTATGTATGTTTAAACAACCAGGAGATGTTTAATATTTCTTAATACACACATTTTTTAAAATACGAAAAGCACCATTCCTATTGAGACACCGAAAATTCTATAAGGACAATTTTTGCTTTCTAAGATTTTCTTTTTTTAATAATTCTTGGAGTGATAAGCTGTTTTTTTAAAAATCATATTTTCTTGTCATAGTCTACTATAAAATTCCATGAGTAATTTAAATGAGACTATTTAGGAAAACTTTTTACTTATCTGAATTTTGGTATTATTATTAATCATAATTAAGAATCAGAAATTATGTAGAAAGAAAAACTCTCAAGTTTGTGTAGTCTGTCACCCTTATCCCTTATTTAGTGGGCCCAGAATTTATTCTAAATCTTGATAGAGGTATAATCAATACGATTGATGAGAAATACCAAGGGTGTGTGGGTTGGCAGGGGGAGCTGAAGCTGATTGATGTCTTGAGCTTGGTTGATCTAGTAGATGCTATTTCCACTAATAGACACTTGTCCATGTCACTTTTCCAGCCTGGTGTCCTCTCTTACTCCAGCATGTGCCCCCTACATTGGGCATTTGGGCCCCTCCAGCTGTGCCAGGCTCCTTCATGCCCCTGGTTTTCACAGAGACACCAACACTGCCTGGAGACAGCTGGGGTTTAGGGTACATGTGATAGTGCTGTTTCAAAATGGCTCTTTTTTTTTCTGTAGTTTCACCAAGTTTATACATTTTTATGACAAAAAATCATTTGCTTTCTGAACTGTTTTCTCATATACATTACTTGTGCCACTGGAGACCATTTTTGATGATCTTTTATGTCTCTCTACCAAAGGCTCTTCCTGATCTTTCTCCCCCTTCTTTTTAGATCCCTTTGGCTTTTTTCTTATTAGGGTTATCTAGTGCTTCAGGAAGAGAATGACCTCAGGTGAGGCAATTTTGAGAGTTTAGAAAGTGGGAGGCTAAATAAATTTCTAATTCCAAGGCTGTGAATTTTTTCCATCAGATTAGTCTGTTAAGTTGTTATAACTGATTTGAGCCATGCCTTCTCCTGTTGTGGAAACACGGCTAATCTCATTGCATAAATAGAATTAGAAGTGAAGTATGGGCAGATAGAAGCAATTCCAACCATCAGGCTTCTTATGTGCTAGAAATTTTATTTGGTTTACCAATTATGTGCACACACACTTTTAAATATTTACAAAAATATTTAGTATTTAGGCAGTATAAATGCATAAAGCCATATTGCTTAAAAGGTCATTACCATTTAGTAATATTTGAAATCTAGCGAAAGGCTTGGCAGGAGATTTAGCTTATTAAGTAGCTTCAGAGAAATCCTATTATAACACAGGTATTAGGATGTGAGATTAACGCTTGATTATAGGCTAAGTCATTTCATGCCCAGTTTTTAGTAATTTCTCTGCTTTGTGGTCTGTGACTAGACTAGTAATACGCCCAAATATATGTTATAATTTTTTTGTAGTAGGATGCTACAGTACTTAAAGTTACTGCTGAACCTAATAATGGTTTATGTATTATGTATTTCTACTCCAGGGAACTTGCAGTTCCTTCAGCTGGGTTTAGTTAACCTAGAATGAATTCCTCAATCTTTTCTCTGAACAATTGGGAAAAGTCTGCTGCGTTGCAGTTAATTACATGCTCATCATAACTGACATTGGAGACCAGTGTACCCAAGGATGGCCCCATGGTGTCCTCCTCTCCATCCCAGCAGATCTGGTTTGACATATCAAACTTCATTTAAGAAAGAGAATCAACTGGTTTTGAAAAAAATATTTTGAAAGTCTTTTTCTTGCTTGACCAAGTCTTCCTGGGAGTGGGCAGTGCATTGAGCATCCACCATGTGCAAAGTGCTGAGCTAGATGCTGGGAGCACTAGAAAGAAACGCTAGTGTTGGGGAAATTTCATTACTCAAACTCCAATGCAATAAAATTTTTGTATGAAAATGATTCATTTGTTTGAAACTGTTTTAACTAATAATCGGCCTCCTTGCACCTCACCTTGCAGCCTGCAATCTTTCCTTAGCAGCAGCTGGAATCATGTCCACAGAATGAAGTTCCCCTGCTGCCTTACTGAAGGGCTCCATGGTGCCCTCTTGCTCCTAGATTATAGCATGTGCTGCTTCAGGCCTCCTGGGTCCCCGCCTGAGCTGAGGCCCGCCCTTCTGGGACCTCATCTCTGCTCCTTGCCCTCTTTCACTCTGCCCACATGGGCCTGTGTGATCCCCAGGCACACCAAGCACCTTCTAGCCCCAGGCCTTTGAAGTTGTGCATCCTTCTGTATGCTGTGCTCTGTCCCTCAACCTTCACATCACTAGCAGTGTCTTACATCAAATGTCACTTCTGTGACACCTTTCATAAACTCTGTGACTTCAACTGGTTTTTATTTTCTGAAGACTTTTTTTTTTTTTTTTCATCTCTGGAGTCAATGTATTCACTTACCTCATTGATGTCACCACAACAATGATAGGGGCCATTGGAACAAGTACCTTCTTATGCACCAGTTTTTAAAGAAGCTTATGGACTAGAAAAACTAGACATATCTAAAAATAATTATAACACAACACATCAAAGAGCAAGTTCCCCATGAAAGGTACAGGTGAGACTATACAGACATCCAGAAGAGAGAAACTGGAGGAATCTGGGGCAGGGGACAGTCCTGGGAGGCCCCAAAGATTTAAATGTGTCACAGTCGAGTGGAGGACAGGAGGAGCTAGTCTTCCAGCCTGAGGAAGCCTGAAGAGAGGGGCCACATGGACCTGCATGTACCAGAGTTCCTGGCTGCCGGACCAGAGGGTGCGTGAAATGAGCCTCAGGACACAGGACTGGAAAGATGGGTCAAGGCCCCAGCTGGAGGGCTTCAAGTGTCAGTCTTAGAGTCTCACACTTTAATTTCAGGTGATTGGAAGTTGCTGGTTATTGCTAGTAGACTAGCCGCATGATCAGAAAACCAAGCTTCTGGCAGAGAATCAGGATATGGCTGCACAAGAAGGGTGCCATTCCATCATCAGCGTAATTCTCGCTACTGACCAGCTCTTTTTCCATGGTTGGCTTCCTTTTCCTTTCTCTACAGTGTTTCTTCTTTTCAAATCTTCCATCCTAGTCTCATACCTTCTTTTTTAAAAAAAGAATGATAATATGAATTATAATGCATTCTGCTATCATACATAGCAAATTATGATAAAAAATTTTTAAAAAGCATGATCCACCATATGGTCACTGCCATCATTCAGGCCCCGCTAACTGAATTAATTCTGCATCCTGTGCCTCCCCTGTATGTGCGTCCCTGCACATGCATGTCTTAGACTAATCCCTCCACCCGAGCTCCAGATCTGTTGCCACCTGTGCTCAAGGACCACTTCTGTTCTCTCCTGTAGGGTCAACTGCTAACCTCCTCGACAGGATTATAATCTCCTCTCTTTAGTAGCTGCTGTGTCCCCACCATTGTAGAGGGTCTTGGTGTCCACTCAGTTGCCTAGACCACATCCCTGGATGTTTTATATCCTCGCTTATTTCCTTCTTCAACCCAGGCCTGTCATTGTGATTTTCTGGGTAGCTCTCAACTCTTTTTTCTCTTTTTGCTGCTCCTGCTTGAAGCCTCCAGCATTTCCTCCCTTACCACTGCAGCTGACTGCCATCAGATTTATCTAGTCTTGCTCCTTTCTAGTCCATACCCCCACTAGCCAAGTGATCTTGTAAACAGGCAGGTCTGTTAAATGCCTCCTTATTTAAGATGTTTCAGTGACATGGCTTGCTGTCAGGAGGACATGTCAGTTTCACAGTGTGCTCCAACTTTCCCCTCCACCCCCGATTCCCCACTCACTATCCCTGTTCTCCTACTCACTTCTCCTGAGACTTTGCATTTCACTTGGGAAAGACTCCTGCTCTTATTTTGTCCTGCTTTCCATGCTTAGCAGCATGACCCCATGGTAGGGTGTATCCTACACCAGAACAAACTGTTTCCCTTGTCAAGTCCCCTCCAGAGCGTATATGTTCCCTGAGAGCAGAGACTGCTTTGCTTTCCTGTATTCCTACGTTGGCATTGAGGAAGTACTCAATAGACAGTTGCTTAATGCATAAGTAGAAGATTTAAAGGGTAGATGACAACGAAAAGGAGATGGTGAGACAGTGTGCCTCAGCTAGTAGAGAGTCACAGAGCGCATTGTTGACCGAGTTCCATGTGGTCGTGTTTCTTCTCCCTCCCCATCGTTTTGAAAATTAGAAAGAGTTAGAGTAATATTTAAGGAGAATTATTTATAAACCAATCTAACTATTACTAATGTAGGACTTGAAACAAAATCCAGGATTTGACATACCAGATCAACACATCCTTTTCTAAACAAGAAACAGATGTCGGGGTTATTCTTTTGTTCTTGTTACTCTTTAGGCAATTATAGACCATTTCTTTAAAAATCACAGAATTGAACTCCATGTGTGTCTCAAGATACCATCTGTAAAGCGTAATATGAACCTGGGTTATATACTGCTGTATAATCTAGGTCAAAAGCCAAAAATAGTAATAATGATTATTAGTCTTTGATTCTGAGCTAGTCACACCACATAATTGTGTATTTGATCTGAATAGTTATAAAAACAGAATGGTTTATTTACCCACTGTCCAATATCTTTGGAGTTTATAGCCGTGATTTGAACCTTTTTTGCCTTGAAAAGTAATTTATCTTCCAAATCAGTGTGTATGTAAGGACTACTTTATTTTCCCTGATTTTTATTCTTAAATTGAGTACATGCATCCTTCAGGAGTTTGGAACACATATCTGAAGTGGCAAAGTGACACAATGGCCAAGAAGATCTGTTCTTAAATTAGCGCCAGAATAGATTGCTTTGAGCTAATGGGGTATTTAGTATGAATTATTTATGGAAGCATATTGTTTTACATCATGGTTATATAAACTGATTTTCTTAATTACATTTAAACAAGTGCATAAACATAAGAAGTTAGTTTGATGTTCTCTAAGAAGTACACTGACTGACTGTTTTGAGGTAGACTTGAAAACTCACCAAGCCTTTCTTTTCTTCGACAGGGCAAATATATGGATATTGAATTTGACTTTAAGGGTGATCCACTGGGAGGAGTGATAAGTAACTGTGAGTATTTTACTTAAATCTTTGAAGAGAAGTTCAGTATGGTAGAACATATAATAGAGTATTTTAAATACTTGACCTTTAAGAGATGGGTATAAGGATATGTTTCCTTTTCTTATATTTAGACTTTTAGCCTTTGCATTTCACATGGCTTCATAATATAATTTGTAAGTCTTTTTAAAGATCACTTAATAGTCTTTGAAAATATTTTTAGAAGTCTGCTAAAGAAATAAGTTTTTGTCCAGCTGTTTTTTATATTCCATAAGTCTTTAAGCCAATTCTGTATGGAAAAGATCTAAGGGTTATATATATATATATATATTTATTTTTGGTAACCAGGATTGAAACCAAGGGGCATAAACCCATCCCCAGCCCTTTTTTAATTTTGACACAGGGTCTTGCTAAGTTGCTTCAGTCCTCACTAAGTTGCCAAGGCTGGCTTTAAATTTGCCATCCTCCTGCCTCAGCCTCCTGAGCCACTGGGATTATAGATATGCAATATCACACCTGGCTCTAAGGGTTATTTTGTTTAACAAAATGTTTATGATTAAAAACAAAGTACAGAGAGTCAGTTTAAAAATAATAAATTTTGGAAACATTTATCAAACAAAAGGAGTGGACCTGTACTACAAATGTTATTTTGAGAAGTTTTATTTCTCTTCCTTATATTTAAATGGTTAAAATGTGATATGTCTGTTAGATAAAACATGGACTTATTAGCCTCCTTTAGACATGCTTTGGGACTGTAGAAGTGAAGTGTTATTTTGTTAAAGTGAAGGTAAAAAGTGAACATAATCAGGTTAGGTCTGGTCTGGAGTTTTCTGAAGTGGGCACAAGAGTGCCACATGACATAGTTAGTGTCTGTTAAGTGGCTGTCAGCTTTTGGGGGTTGAGGTACCCATGGTGCTACCCTGTTATCTGATTTGTTTGGAAATTTTAATATAACCAAATAGGGCTTTGTGCACCTCGTCTGGTTATCCTTTGGAAGCCTTCTGCATGTTTTGAGGGTCACACTACTGAATCGCCCATTGTCCCTGGCTGCCATATTACCCAAGAGTGCTGAAAAATGACAAAAAAAAAAACCAAAAAACAAGTATCCTGAGTGTGTTCAATAGATGACATTTCTTCTTCAAGTGAAATGTTTTGCTGAACCCTAAATATGAAACAGGTAAAATGAGCCCTGGTCTGGTGGAAGAAGAGATGGATAACTTAGAAACCCTAGTTAGGTTAGTGCTGCTTAGGTTAGATGACTTTATATGCCAAATATGGAAATAAAAGTACTCATGAGGTAACCAAAAGCAAATGATTGTAGTGCCTGACAAACTTTTTAGGCACATTCCTTTCATGACGTATGTCAGCTGATGAGAGCTATCTAGAGAAAGATGCCTTGGTTCAAAGACCACCATTTTCAAGAATGATCAGTTTTTGTTCTGAAAGGTGTTCGTGACTCTTTAGTGCTTTCTTTTTATAAGGCAAATAAACTATTTATTAAATCAATAATACTCTTTTTAAAATGAGGGTAAGTTTGGTGTCTTTTTTAATTACAGAATTTGTAACTGAACATTCTTGAATGATTTAACCCTTATAGCCCTTGAGAATTCTAGGAAAATAATTAGAAATTACTCTATTATTTTAAGTATGAGAAAGTAACTTCAGTTTAAAATTTATAAAAGTGTAAATTTTAAACAGAAATGTCTTCCTGCCCCCTCATTCTTACAGTATCCATGGAAAATAAATATTAAACATTCAGTTCTTTTCCAATTAAGATTAATATATCTTCATGAATGGGTTTCATATGGTGTTTGTTACTGTTTGTTCCCACAATGAAATTATATTGAAGTCTGTGGTAGCGGGAACACCCTGGTGTTCAGGAGTGTCCTTTGCTCTGGAGAGGGAAGGTGCACATTAGTGGTGAGGCAGGACTTTGCTTCCTGTGTAGATGGAGGACTGACTCATAGCTGGCCGCTGGGAGTTGCTGCCTACTGGCTTAAGGGGTGGATTGCAATGTGGGGTAAACCCACTTGTGTTCTCTCCAAGCTGCAAAAAGCTTCTAGCTTCTTGTAACCTGTAAAAGAAAACTAGATTTTCTGTTTTGTATGAAGTATCTGTTGTCTCCTTTTCCAGCAGCCAAAAGCAGATTATTATTGACTAAAAATATTACCCTGAAAAAGTTATAGGATCCCTCCAACTAGTTGTGTATGCCCAAACAGTGGAAAAGAAAGCCCAGTAACTCATCTTTCTTTCTATAAGAGTTGTGGCATCAAATTTAAGTCTGAAAAAAAAAAAATTTAAGTCTGAAATTCTTTCAAAATTTGCATAACCCTGAAGTTAGTGTGAGTAGGAAAGAGGAGTTACTAAAATAGAAGATGATATCGATCAAATTATGTGTGTGCATATACAAATATGGCATAATGAATCCCACTATTATGAGTAATTACAGTGTTCCAATTAAAAAAAGACTTGTTAAGGAAAAAATAGAAGACAGCAAACATTTGCTTGAATAGAAAAGAAAATATGGAAGTGCATCAGGATGTTCAGTGGATCTGAAATAACACTTCTCTTAGTTTGTTTAGGCCTATTGGCCTTATAATATTTATACATTTATATTTTGGGATTTTGTGTTTAGTGTTATAAATTGGAAGCTTTGGAAACCTGTTGCTTTTATCAATAGTCACAGGCAGCTTCTTATATCTGTGGCTCTTGGTGGCAGTCTCTCTTATTATTTATTTATTTTGTTTGTTTGTTTTGGTACTGACAATTAAACCATGGGTGCTTAACCAGTGAGGCACATCTCCTTTTTATTTTTTATCTTGAGACAGGGTCTTGCTAAATTGCTTAGGGCCTTGCTAAATTGCTGAGGCTGACTTTGAAATTGCAGTCCTCCTGCCTCATTCTCCCAAGTCATTGGGATTATAAGTCATCTCCAGGCAACATTGTGCCTGGAGCTAATATCCAGAGATTTTTTATTTGCTTAAAGAAAAATAACAGATATACACTAGGAAAATACATTATGATGTTAAGTGTGTATGTACCAGTGTAAATGAAGGGCAAGGAATATGGCTGTCCATATGGACATGGAATTGGTTAAATACAGAAAGCCCTATAGGTCCTGCTTCATTATTTAGGGCACATTCCTGAGCCTGCTTGTGTAAGTCTTTTTGGCTTAATCATGTGGTTTCCAGTGTCTACACAAAAAGACAGGAAGTTACCTAATTCTCTGTGCCTCCACTTCATCTTTGAAATGGGAATAGTAATAGTTCTGAACTGGGTTTGTATGAGGCATCAATTTTTTACTAGCATCTATTAGCTTCACAGCAGTGTTGGCTTGTCCTCACCTACCATGTAGGAAGCACACAATAAGTGTTGGTATTTTTCACTATTAAATAACTAAACCCTTCATCGAATATATGCTAATCAGGTCAGAGACCTAGTCTGATTTATTGCTGAATTGCCAGCAACCAAAGTATACATCTAATATATATTTGTTGAATTAATTAATTAATAATCACATAAGTAATTATGTAAGTTGAAAAATTTGTTAAGAAATAAAGCCTCTGCTTTTATTGGATGGTTTTGTGTGAATAATCTATGCTACTCATTTTAAAAAAATTTTAGCAAACAAAATTATTGATAGTGAAGCGTCACCCTTTACTGTGTTTTGTTCAGCTTGAAAAAGTATATGCTCCTGTGAATGGTGAAGGGAGGCAGAAGTGGAGACTGGTGTGTATTCTGCTTATTCTTGCTGCCCAACAAACTCCCCAAACTTAGTAGCATAAAATAGCAGCCCTTTTCAGTGCTCTGGGGTTCTGTGGGTTGAGAACCCAGGTGGGGCATGGCAGCAATGGCTTGTCCTCACCATGTATGGGGCTTCAGCTGGGAACACAAATGGTTGGGGGCAACTTGCAAGACTGGAGATTGGAACTCTCTAGAGGTTTTGTCACTCACGTGTCAGGCCAGCTGGTAGAATTGTAAGGCCAGGGTCTGTTGGGGCTGTAGACAGGAGCTGCCTCCATGTGGCTTCACATTGTGTTCTGGAAGGGAACACCCTGACAGCAAGTGCTCCGAAAAAACATCAGAAGGAAGCCTGAAGTAGCTTATGACTCTGTGGATTGTCCCTTCTGCTATGTACTGTAAGTCAAAGTGGGTACAGACTCACCCACTTTCCCTGGTAGGGCTCATAATCCTATTTCTCAATAGGAAAGTGTCAAAGAATTTATGACCGTTTTATTTTAAATAGCTACAAATTGATTGCTGATTTTCAAAACAGCCACCATAATTTCTCACCCCATGTCTACACCCTTGGGTAATTCCCTTTCTCACTGACTCAGCCTTGGCCATGAGATTTGTTTTACTCAGTGGAATAGTTAGCAAATATAGCACAACCAGAGATTTGAACGTTGGTTACGCATTGGAGTTTGTCCTTCCTTGGTGCTCTTGGGAACTCTGTCATCACCGCCATGTGAATGAATCTGAATGGTCTGCTGAATGATTCTGCACATAGAATGAACTGTCAGATGTGAGAGAGGACATCTTAGGTTGGCTGCCAGCCAGTTGGCCAGCCCTTGACCAAGCCTGGCAGAGATCAACCAAGCTGACTCAGACCAGAACTGCCCAACTGACTCCCAAAGTTCTGAGCTAATAAAAATTGTTTTAAAGTACTGAGTTTTGGGGTGGTTTGTTATGCAGCCAAAACTAACTAATACTAACTAATAATAATATCCTTTCCTTCGCCCTGTTTGGAAATACATGAAAAATAGGCATGGGAATTAAATTGTAGAGGAAGTGGCTTTGTTACTACTGTTGAAGTCAAAGTTGAAGAAAGTGACTTTTGGTGTTATCACCTAAGTGCATAGGTGTGCCAGTAGTCCTCTGGCAGCTTGGCAGTCAGGTGGTCCTCCACAGCACTAAGCACTGCTGGCCCTCTCCTGTGTACATCACCCCACTGTCTCAGCACTGAGGAGTAGAACTGGTTATGTGGGCAGCATGAGGACCCCAGAAAGCTG